AGGAACTCTCCCAGATTAAAGCAGATTCAGGAGTCCTGACAACAAAATGCCTTGTGACCCTCCTTTGAATCTTAGAGCAGAAAAGGGACATTAATGTTTCTTTGGAGAGTAGCCTCAGCTTCTTTTGTCTCCTAAACAAACAAAATCCCAGAACTCCCTCCGTTATAATGAAAACAATCTCTACGAAGCAAACTATGATATTTCTTGAAGAAAAAAAATTTTTTTTTGGCCAGGATATTGGCACACATTATCTTGAAAGTCAGTATATGTATATTTTAGATCCAAAATGTTTCGTAAGTATAAGAGTAAGATTTGTATTTAAGCATATCCTTAAAATTTCATTTTGTCCTTAACAAAATTTTTATTTTGTCCTTAAAATATATTTTCAAAAGTAAGGTTGATATACTTTACTTTGTCAACTTCGCTGCTTCCTGGCTGTTTTCAAGGGTATTTTCAAAGGAAGAGCCAGTGTCTTAACTCAGTAATAAATGCACATGTAATCCTTCCAACTGATGTTGAATCTGAAATATCTACTATAATTATAATACCTGACAAACAGAAGAAGAATAATCCCACCTTGTCTGTATCAGGCCTTTTAAAAGCAATGAGATCAAGTGTGTATGATTGTATGATTACTGTAAAAGCTGGCATGGCTTACACTTGTTTACAATGCATTTTACTACCATGAGTGTGGATTATAAAAGCACCCAAAGAATATGAACCAAACATTGAAAACAAAATCGGCATGGGGATGAACCATTAAAAATGAACTGCACAATGATTAAAAGTGCACAACTTCAGCATATTCACTATTGTTAATGCAATCACATTCCAAGTACTTCCATTCTTGGCAGAGCTTACAAACACTGGTGCCAGAAAACATTATTCTTTTTCAAAACATTAACTCCATATTCAAAATTCGGATAGCGCTGAGTCTTAAAAATCTCTTGGCATGGGTTTTAATAACTAATTGGTTAATGAAAAATATCGAGTTGGATAAGCTAAAGCTATTCAGCTATTTCAGCCACACATGTAATTGTTAGAGCCATCATAGATGGGAATTTCAAAGAGGTATTCCAGAACATATATTCCCCACTGCTGCCTTTCAGGGAGCACTTTCCGCAACCACCGCCAACCCAGACAAGTGTTGTGGATCCTGGGACCCTGTGCCAACACTAGGGCTCTCCCCCTACAGGCATGCCAGGTCCTGTGGCTACACTGGCTGCAAAGTTGCCTCCTACTCTCCCAGGGAACTGGCAACAGCCCACAGAAACACCCACCCTGAGCCTGAGCCCAGGATGCCAAAGCCCTTCTACCTCTACCTCTTCCTCCTCCCCCTCTTCCTTTGCAGATGCCTGCGTTTCTTAGGGAGGTTCAAAGTGACCAGGAGACTATTTTAATTATTATTTAAAATATTGGTCTAGTCAGTTTTGGGGGTCAAAGGAAATCTATTCATTCCTTATTAACAAATATTAACATATGTTTGTTAAAGAAAAAATATAAAGTAGAGAGAAGATATAACAATACCAGTAGGGTAACCCTTCTAAATTCTCACTTCAAGATTCTGCTAAAGTTATGTTGTCTTAGGGCACCTGGGTGGCTCAGTGGTTGAGCGTCTGCCTTTGGCTCAGGTCGTGATCCTGGCATCTTGGGATGGAGTCCTGCATCAGGCTCCCCACAGTGAGCCTGCTTCTCCCTCTGCCCATGTGTCTGCCCCTCTCTCTGTGTCACTCATGAATAAATAAATAAAATAAAAAAAAAGTTATGTGGTCTTATTTTATTCAAGGTTTTTTTTTCTATTGTTATAACACTACTGTATATTCATATTTTACCTAACACTGTGTATCATAAGCAGCTTTCTATATCAATAGTCTTTTACACAAATAGGTGGTTCATATGCTAAGTAACCGTAACATGTTTTAGTTAACTGGTTCCTGGTCATTGAACCTGTTGATTTGCTTTTTTTTTTTTTCAATATTTTATTTATTTATTTATGACAGACACAGAGAGAGAGGCAGAGGCAGAGGGAGAAGCAGGCTCCATGCAGGGAGCCCGACATGGGACTCGATCCAGGGTCTCCAGGATCACACCCTGAGTTGAAGGTGGCGCTAAACCGCTGGGCCACCGGGGCTGCCCTTGATTCGCTTTTTTAAAAAAACATTTATTCACTAAGTATATCTACTACATTCAAATCACTGGATTAAATATTATACGTACATGCATATGAATTAGTGGCTCCTCTCAGAATGCTATTCAAAACTACAAAAGACACAAACATATATTTTATAGCTTACAGAGCATATGCATGTATACACTTTCTATATCTAACCCTAAGCATTTAATTTTTAGAAAAATATTCTTACAGGATGAAAATATCCTAATTTTCTCACCAGATATTTCTTTTACTTCTAATCTCTCTTACCTTTGCCTGCTGGGTTTGTCTTAGCATGACTGATCAGGAAATCTTTAAAGTAGTCACAAAAGAAAAATTCTGAGCATCATTAAATATTTTATCTTAAGAATATCCCTAGCCAAAAATATTAACTGTACCTGCATTTTGAACAAAATTATTGTATGATGTAATATTGGGCTGAGAATTTGTTGGGGTTTTCTTTGAGTGGTGGGACTGGAGCAGAGCAGCAGACATCTGGAAACAGAGGTCTTAGAGCCACAAAGACATGGATATAAATCCTCCTTCCATCCCTTAACTAGCTGTGTCATCTTTGGCATGTTACTCAAAAACAAAAACAAAAAAACTCAACTCACTGTGCTTTAGTTTCCCTATTTGCAGAAAGGAGTTAATAACACCTCCAAGGTGGATGTGAGGATTCCAGAAAGTCTATGTAAGGGTCAAGCATGTGCCTGGCATAAAACAGACACTGAATATATTTATTTCTACAATGAGCATACATTTAGTTTTTGAAAGATAAGCCTAACTAGTATGTAGAAAAAATATAAAGAGAAAAATTAATTTACTCGGCTTTACCGCTACAGGTGACTTGTAATTCATGACTCAGTTCCTAGCAAAGGGTCTAAGTCTTGACAGTTCGGGAATCTAGAAATGTAAAGGTCAGTGCCCTGAAGCCGACCAGGATCACCTCAGAACCTAGCTCCCACTATGTAATTAATCCCACGCTTTCCCTCTTTTCTGTATATGCGTGAATATACATCAGAGATGATAAAGAAAACTCACGGTGTGGCAAAGTCACACCCATTCTCCAATCCTGCTCTGGGATGACTTCCTCCCCTTTTTAGTTCTTCTCACCTCGCCTCTGATTTGAGACAGCCTGAAAGCAAGGGAGAGGACTACTCTGCTGCTCTGTTGGCAGGTGGAATTAACTGCTCATCTTCCAGGAAAGTAGACGTTCCCCAGGAGACACCAGTGTGGGAAAGTCATTTCTGGCCTCGCAGTGTTTTGCCTCCCGTCCTACAGGCAGGCTCTGACACTCAATCCTCTCCTCTGAATGTGACTGACATTTCCTGGCTGGTGAGGGATTCCCTGAAGAGTGCTTCCACAAATTAACACACATGTGGTCACCAGTAAGCGTCCTCAGGGGCCTTAAGCATCCCTTGAATTCCCATCTTTCCCATTTTTTGTTTGTTTGTTTTAAGTAAAGATTTTATTTATTTATTTATTTGAGAGACAGAGAGCACGAGCACGCATGAGTGGGGAGGGCCAGAGGCAGAGGGAGAAGCACACTCCCGGCTGAGCCCAGACCCCACTAGGGGCTGATCCCCGGACCCCAAGATCATGACCTGAGCTGAAGTCAGATGCTTCACCAACTGAGCCACCCAGGTGCCCCTCATTCTTTCCATCTGAATCAAACTGGAGTTCAAGAGCTGCAAACGATGATCTGAAATCAACTATATGCTGTCAAAGCAATTCAGCTATCATTAAAATAGACATAATATTCCCAGGGTACAAAAATCTTAGATTTCTTTTTTCTTCCCAGGGGCTAGATAAGCACAGACCCCTGAATGGTCTGCTGGCTAGTCTGGGCCTCCACGCTGGGAGGAGGCACCAGGGGAGAGGAGACACATCTTCATGGAAAGGTAAAGACAGCATTGAAAGTTGTGTGTGTTTGAGAAATTGCCTGTAGAGCTAGTAGACAGACAAAACCTGTATCATATCTGGAATTGTACACAGAGAGAATTTCAGAAAACCTCTAACCTCAAAGAACCTGTATATAAGATTTTCTTTATTTTTGAATTGTCTAAACTCAAGCTGTCTTCTTGGACTTGGGAACGCAGGGTCACTGTCATGGTGACTTCAGACTCCAGTGTGCTAACTGTACACCCCAGAGCACACAAAAGCTTGATTTCAAAAGATTATTTTGGAAACTGTCCTCTGCATTTGCTGCTCCCTTAACCCAGAAAACTCTGACCTCAGACACTGTATACACAATCCATTCCCTCAAGTCATTCGGATCTCTGCTCAAATGTGCCCGTACTGGGGAAGTTTTCCTGACCAGCCCATTTGAAGTAGTACAAACCCATTCAAAACCAGGCTTTGTACAGCCTTAGGATGCCTTATTTTTCTTATTTTTCTTTCTCACTACCTCTCATATTATAGATTCATTTGATTTTCCATCTCCCCTCCCTATGGATGCAAGCGCCAAGATGGAATAACTGTTTTTTCACTGCTGCATCCCACAGAGTTCCTGAATACACGATCACAGTTCAATAAGTATTTGTCAGATGAGTGAATGACTTGTAGATGTTGTAGCCAAATGCCATACATCTCCAATTCTCTGCCCAGCAAGATAACAAACCCAAACAAAGCTCCTGGGACACACACAAGGCTAACACTAAATCTCCTTAGAGGTCTTTGTTGCAGCTTATGAAGCAAGTGTATCCATGAGAGCTACCCTAAGAGTTTACAAAAAGCAAGCTTCTCTTCTAATCTTCCCAGGCTATCATACTAATCAACACACAACCTGCCCTCCCTCCCAAGTTTCAAATTATTTCATGCTCACAGAAACCTAGATCTCTTTTCTTACCATACTGATCGGAATTGCTGGTGAAGAGAAGGTAGTCAGAAGCACAGGTCTGGGATTCAATATCCAAATCCCCTAACCTCAGAATCAGTTTCTTTCCTTTTGGTACTCGAAGAGTCTTTTCACAAACCGTGTGATTGGGGTAAGTCCCTGGATAATTCTTAGACGTCATGGTGCCACTGTCCTGATAGGTCACTATGTGCCCACAGCCATCACCTGGTTAAAAAAAGAGAGAGAGAATTAAAGAAATGAAATTAATTCTTACTGAGGATTGAGAGAGTCTAGTGTAATCTTCAAGTCACGTATTTTATTCCTTCTTTACAGAGGGAAAAGCGAAAGAAGAAGAAGAAAAGAAGAAGAAGAAGAAGAAGAAGAAGAAGAAGAAGAAGAAGAAGAAGAAAGAAGAAAGAAGAAGGAGGAGGAGAGGAAGAGGAAGAAGAAGAAAAGAAGAAGAAGAAGAGAAAGAAAGAAAGAAAGAAAGAAAGAAAGAAAGAAAGAAAGAAAGAAGAAAAGAAGGTTAATTTTTTTTTATTTCAGGTAATTTTTATCTTGTTCCCCAGTATATTTATTATTTTTTTAAAGATTTTATTTATTTGACAGAGAGAGAGAGAGCACAAGCAGGGCCAGCAGCAGAGGGAGAGGGAGAAGCAGGTTCCCCACAGAAGGCCCCATTTTAACAACTGATGTGAGAAGAAATTTTAATAAGAGAGAACCTATAACTTCTTTCTGGGAATGTTTTCCCACCAAAAAAGGGCTTTCCCCCTATCATTTAAGGAGCGAGATGAATTAGAAACCGTAGAAAGAGGCAGCTATAGAATTTGATCTTCCAAGTACCCCATTTACCTTTATTGAACTTAATCATAATACTGTCAAATCGCCATGATCTCACTAAAGGATTTCTATTGCTGTCAGTTACAACCCCAAATACATTTTTATTCTTTCTACTGGGTACATTGTCTGTTTTCTTTATAAATTCAGTACAATAAACAAATTATTTAATTAAAAAAAAACTGGACAGAGAGCCCCATATGAGGCTCAAACCCATGACCCTGAGATCATAACCTGAGCCGAGGGCAGACACTTAGTGGACTGAGCCACCCGCAGGTGGCCCTTGATTCCCAGTTTAATCTGAATATTTTTGACCAAAATGTTTCATATATTAAAATGGAAAGTCCTTAGCAAACACATTGCTTAATAATACTACTTTTTCTAATCATCTCTTTTTTTCTACCCATGGAAATGCACAGTGGGCCCTTGGCATTCACAGCTTTGCCATTTGTGGTTTTAGCAAGCCAATGCCGTGCAATAATCTTGCATGGTGGAGAAAATAATCGTACTTATTTCAGAGGGTCTCTGTATTGTTAAATAAGAGAACGAGAGGAGAATGAGAAACTGTCATACAGCTGCAGGCTTCCAGATGTTCGACATTCACATCACAGTGAATGATAGTCGTGGATCTGAAGGTTCCTGAGAGACCCAGAATGTGTCATTAAGAGAATGTCGAGGATCCAGTGCCTCGAGTGCTTGGCACATACCAGACCTGGTACTGCTGGAGACACAAAAAAGCAGCAATGGTCTTCACAGAGCTCAGAGCGAAACAGGAGACAGTCACATGTTCAGCTAACTATAATACCGGGTGCTGTGTGCCATATAGGAGCTTAAAGTGCTGAGAAAGGCAGGAAAGACTGTATTTCAGTGAATTTTCACCACTACACTAAAATAAGAAATTTTCTTAAGATTTTTTGACCAGCACATTGCTCCAATAGATTAAAGTGACTAAGTCACTCACTCAAATATCTTAATGTCATGCACAGCTGGGTGGGCCGCAAGGTAATTGAGCACACAGAGCATTGAAGTTGGCATTCAAGTTGCCAAATTCCTGTGGCTAGTATTGCTTCACATTAAAGCGAGTATTTCTGCCCCCAACTAGAGGGAGAGAAAGCAGAAATTGGTTGAAGAAGGAATTCTCTGAATAATAAATAAATAATAAATAAATAAAAACAAGGCCTCTGCATCCCAAAGTCTCCCCCAGAGAAGCCCCAACTTGGGCATACGAGAATCAGAAGCCCAGGGCAGCCTTCTTCCTCCTCCAGCCTCTTCCTGAGTTAGAGGAGGATTGACCTGGGGCTTTCCTTTATCCCACTCTTTTCTGACGCTGAGGCTTACAGCCCAAATGATAATGGAAGCTAGGTAAAATAAGAAAAAATAATAATACATAAAATAAAATTGTGAGGGATGGATGGGGTGGGCACAGAACTCCAGAAGCTATGCCATCTCAGCAGACAAGTCTAAGGAGAGGAATCCAACTATAATCCAGAAACTGCCACAAGATTCCCAGCAGCTACGGCCAGGTGGACGGATAGGGGATAGAGTTAACTTTACCAAGTGATGGGTTACAGAATACAGCAAAAATGTAGATGGACACTAAGATAAAACTACTGTGACACCTGCACGTCTAGGGAGAAGCAGCTTTGGAATTTATATGTTAGACCATAGTGACCCATAGAAGTTTTTGAGAAGGGAGATGATGAAAGAAGTATTTTTAAAAAAGATGATCAACCCAGTTGGGCAATGCTACAGGACCTAGAATGTAGGGAGAATCCAGATAAGAGCAGTACAAGGGTGAGGAATGGGGCAGCCAGAAAGGGAAAGGAAAGTAAAACAGAGAAATTCACAACAATAAAAGAAGCCAATAGCTCAGGAAACGACAGATGTTGGTGGGGATGTAGAGAAAGGGGAGCCCTCTTATGCTGTTGGTGGGAACGCAAACTGGTGCATCCACTCTGGAAAACAGTATGGAAGGTCCTCAAAAAGTTAAAAATAGAACTACCCTGGGGTACCTGGGTGGCTCAGTCAGTTAAGCATCTGACTCTTCATTTTGGCTCAGGTTATGATCTTGGGGGTCCTGAGACTGAGCCCTGAGTTGAGCTCCACCCTGGGTGTGGAGCCTGCTTAGGATTCTCTCTCTCCCTCTGCTCCTCCCCCTACTTGCACTCCCCTCCCCTCACCCCACTCTCTTGGATAAATAAATAGATCTTAAAAAACAAAAACAAAGCACAGAACTACCCCATGACCCAGCAACTGCACTACTTAGGTATTTAACCAAAGAATACAAATAGTGATTTGAAGGCACCTGCACCCCACTGTTTATAGCAGCAATGTCTACAATAGCCAAAATATTGAAGGAGCCCAGATGTCCACCAACTGAAGAATGGATAAAGAAGATGTGCTACACACACACACACACACACACACACACACACACACACACACACATACTGGACTATGACTCAGTTATCAAAAAAATGAAACCTTGCCATTTTGCAACAACATGAATGGAACCAGAAGGTATTATGCTGAGTGAAACAAGTCAGTCAGACAAAGTCAAGTACCATATAATTTCACTCATCTGTGGAATTTAAAAAACAAAACAGATGAACACAGCAGAAGGGAAGGAGAAATACAATAAGATAAAAACAGAAAGGGAGACAAATCATAACAGACTCTTACCTCTAGGAAACAAAGTGAGGGTTGCTAGAGGGGAGGGGGCAAGGGGATAGGGTTCCTGGGGGATGGGCATTAAGAAGGGCACCTGATGTAATGAGCACTGGGTGTTATATGCCACTGATGAGTCACTAAATACTACCCTTGAAACTAATAATACACTATATGTTAGCTAACTTGTACTTAAATAAAATCTAAAAAAAAAAAAATCAAGACTTGGATTTTGGTTTAATGGGGGAGACAGGAAAAGAAAAAAAACCCACTGAAATTCTGAGTCCAGAAATGACTGGAGCACTAAGGCTAACATAGACGGGATGAAAAGCCCAAAGAGAGAGCAGGTTCGGGGGCAAAGGTCATAAGTCTAGTTAAGGTTGAGGTGACAGCTATACTTGGTGACCTCTTGGGCAGTGAGTACAAAATTATTGAAAATTATACTGGAGTGAAGCATGTGGTACAGAAGCACATAGTGCACAGGGCTTTGATTTAAAATTTGAATTATTTGCTGCTTGTAAAGGGTTTAATTTAAAAATCCAATTTACAGTTTCTCTTGAAAACTGGAAGATATAGCAAGGATGCCAGCAGGCATTCTCATCGGCTAGTGACACAGTAGGTGCCCCTTTAGAGGAGAAAAATGCTCAGGCTCCCCATCAGATGCTCACCGTTCACTCCTGGCACATGTCCCCACCTCGGGAGGCAATGACCCCAAGCATGCGGACGGGGCACCAGTAGGGTACCTTGTGTACAAACGATCATGCACACAAATATGCACACAACCCTCCTTAAGCCACCAAGATATCACCTGGTCAAACATTTAAACACTTCTTTTCTTGTTACTGTGAAATTCTCTGCTTTCATAAGAAAAGAGAAAGTGAACTTCCTGGAAAGCACAGTGAAATATGGAATGAGGTGTAATTATATGTGAATCAACTTTTATATGATCATCATATTCTCGACTATATTTATTTATTTTTTCTCGACTATATTTAAGTGACAGATCATGACAAAGGAAAATCCCAGGGCGTCCCGTTTATTCAACCCTGTAATTATACTTTTTTTCAATCACTTTTACTCTAAAGCCCAAGAGGAAACTAATTTCAGGCAGGCGGTGAGCAGATTTGTCTTCAACACTCCCATCATCACTTTGCCTGGGGGATCTGTGCCTCCTTAGAGAAACTTCTCTTTTGCATTAACTATCAGAATGATACTCTAAGAGTCTTTGTTCTAAAAAAAAAAAAAAAACCTGAAAGGAACTGCGGAATCCTGATTTATTAAAATGCCATCTGTCATCAGAAGTTTGTAATTTCACCCCTGCCTATGGAAGGAGACTATTCATGGACTTTCCTGTGGCAAGCACTAATATAATACACTTATTCTGTGGTATTAACTTCGTCAGGAATTTCTACCCTCTTGTCCTCCCACAGTCTTGATGAACTCAAAAAACTGGATATAATAATAATACTGTCATAGATATTTGAAAGTTGCTAAGAGAGTAGATCTTAAATGTTCTCACCACAGAAAAGAAATGGTGAATATGTGAGACGATGGAGAGGTTAGCTAACATTACAGGGGTGATAATTTTGCAATACGTAAGCATATCAGATCTACACGTTGTAGACTTAACCTAATACAACATCCTATGTCAATTGTAGCTCAGTAAAGCTGGGGGGAACAAAGGACCACAGTTATGCCACAGGGGAGAATGGAGAACTAGG